TTACCCAGTGCTCACAGGAGGATCATTCATTTTTAACATTTTCTCAAAGGTCTTAGCAGCACTTTAAAAAGAGGGAAAAGTGCCTTTTTTCAGTGGGAGATCAGAAATGCACGTGGTTGCAGCTGATGATCAGCCTGTGGACACGTCAGAGCAAGGATGGCAACAGTGAGCTCCTTAAGGTTTCTTTCTTGGAGACTGTAGATAGGACTGTACCCCCAGTGAGTTCTCATTGCATCCACAGCAGGGAGAAGGCAAAGGCATTTTGTGCCCCAGCACCAATTGGCTTTCCTTACTCATTTCAGCCTTTGGGAATCACACAGCCCTGCAGTCATCATACTATGAGCCCTCAGTGACTGACGCACAAGAGCATTGTGCAAGTCAGAGGCAAGATGGAGAGCAGAGCCCTGAAGCTCCATGTCTTCCCCACTGCTACGCAGGCTGTGGCTCCTTCCTAAATAGCACTGCTCTGCAAATGCTCAGCAAGAAGCTCCTCTGAAGCAAAGCTGTTCCTGCCCTTGCCTGGCAACACATCATGGCCCACAAGTCCTCACAGCACCTGGATGAAAGTACAGTTAGATAACAGCGTTCACTGAGTGACAACCCACTGCCCAATCAGATCATGCAGCCACATCAATCTTAATGATTTTCTGAAACTGTAATTCATTTTACTCTGTAGCCATTCTCATTTATTAGCTGAATTAATTTTATACGGATTAAAAATTCAAGTCAATCACTTCGAAACAGAAAAGTGACATTTTAAAATCTATATTCTGTCCCAAGCCTATAAATACGTCTGCCTCTCAGAAATCAGCTGTTTATGGCTGATCTTATAGCAGAGGATGACTCAAAGAGGCTTATGTGCTGCATTGCTTTTATCAGAGCTGAACAAAAAGCACCCCTAAGTCCTCTGTGAATTAGGGGCATCAGTGACTGTGGGTAGTTCCTGTATTGTTTCCCAGCCAGACCAAGTGGCACAGCTTTCTGGTGGCCTGTGCCTAGTGCTGTGCTGCCAGCAGTAGGCAGTCACATTTTGTTGTGCTTCCATACAACAACAGGCAGCACTTGATTTCCTCAAGTGAGAATTAACAAAGCAGACATAGCTCATAGACTGCTGATTACTCCAAACATGGTTTCCTCCTCCCTTGCCCCGCTTTGTTACAGAGCACATACCAGTGTTGGATTGAATTATAAACCCCAAAATAATATTAAAAGAACATAAGCAAGGCTGTAGAGCCAGCCCTGCATACATGAGGGGATCTAATAGAATTAAGGTGCTTTTTGGAGCCAGTAGGTGGGAGATGAGTAAGGCTGAATGATGCCCTTGAGGATGAGAGCAGAAGTGCTGGTGGGGAGCAGAAGTTGCATCGGGCATTGCCACATCCATCCTGGTGTAACTCAAAGTAAATGACACAGAAATAGGAGGGAGCAGCTGGCCAAGGAAGTCTGGTGGTGGGACAGAGCTATTTTTAGGGAAGGACAGGTTGTAAGGAAGTACAGAAAAGCCTTACAGGTGAGGCCTTGTTACCACTGACTGGGCAGTGAAGCACTAGGGGTAAATGGAAAGTGCTACTTAGGTGAGGGCAGTACCCCTATCTGCTCATACAGAGATTGATGCCAACACTGTGTGGGGAGGACGAAGATGAGAACTCAGCAGCACTATAGCCTGGGTCAGGGTGAGCCCCTGCATCCTGACAGAGGACAGGGTGAGCCCCTTCCTGCTTGGGGAGCTGCTTTGAGCCTCTGAGCTGCTGGGTGCATGTCAGATTCAATTCCAGTTGTGTTTTTGACCTCGGTGATTAGATTAATATTGCAAAACTCCAGTTTGCCCACTTGTGAGATGGGAGGTGTTTGTTATGACTTTGTTTCCTAAACATGGGAAAGCCTTTGAAAAGCAAAGGGCTTGCTCAGCTGTGTCCATAAACATTCAAATTGCTCCTGATTTGTTTTCTTCACCCATGTTTACCCTCCTTGTCTGCTTGTTGCTGTTTAGCCAACGCAGCGATGCTGCGATCCCAGGATGGGAGCAGCCTCTTACCTGCAGCGTGGGATCAAACCTCTTGGCTCCCACCCCTGAATTTGCGATGAACCAAAGGGCCAGGCTCTTAAGTTCTGTGTTGCAATTCCTTTCTTCACCCCAAAAAGAGCCCATTCCTAGCAGAGTTCAGCTGACGATGCAGAGCTGGGATAAATGCGGTTGCCATGTACCTTTGGCTCTTGGTTTACCAGCACGGGGCTCAGCTGTGAGCAGGTGTCTGCAGCCCCATTCCTCTGCCAGGCAGCTGGAGCAGCCCGAAGTCCGGCTTTTACACTTGGTTTGGAAGGAAAAAAAAATATGCAATAAACACACACTGCAATTTACATGAATTTTTTTTCCACAGCCGAGACTAAAACCAGTCTTTATGTGCTTGGAATTTGTTTAAAATAATTGCTATTTATGCATTTTTTTGGCAATTTACCAATCTAATCAGCATAATTTGTCTGTGCTGGAACAAATCTACAAGACTCCAGAAGTGCTCTGCAGATCATGCAGATTAAACACGAACTAATTAGTAGATTTCTGGATCTCTTAAGTCCACAGCTTTGGCAATAGCCGACAGTGGCCACCAGCATTCCCACATGGAGAGGGAGACAAAGCCCAGACACACCAGCAAAATGGCTACAGATGTAGCTATGTGTGAAAAGTCTTTGCAAAAGAAAAAAGAACAACAACAACAAATAGAGATAATAAACATCAGCAATTCATTTCTGTGTTTTCCTAACACATTTTGAGAATAAAGACCTTTTTTGTGATTTTAATTCACTCTTCTGTGGAAATTTGACGTGATTCTCCTAGAACTTGTAGACATAAACCACCCCAGGGTGAAAAGGAAAATATAGAAGCTGTGAAGATGAATCTTGGGTTCAGCCATGGCCAGTCCAAGTGCATCTGAAAGCTGTGACGACAGCAAAAAGGAAAGATTATGACAATTGCACTGGGAACAAACCCAAAAACTGCTTTGCCAATATGTGAAGACTTCTTCGTTCTGAGAGTTTTCTCAGAGTTTCCTCAAGAGACCACAATAACTCTACACCAAATGTTCCAGGAGATGATGAAGAACAATAACAGCTGCTCTGAAGACCATTGCAAACAATGGAAAGTCCCCAGTTGATTTGCTCAGTCTTGAATCAAGTCCAAAATTCACAGAATTTCGGAATAGAAGTAAACCCAGCCACTGGACTGCAATAGTAGCATTAGGGCTGGGAGTAAACTCGCATGACCCCATCACTTAAGCTCTGTCCTACAGCTACTACTGAAAGCCAAGTGCCTAACAAATGCTGTGGTTCAGTGCTGGTCCTGGGGGATGCTGCTCCCCATCCCTTTGCTTGAAGGAGTAGCACGAGTGTCCTTGGGAAGATCTCTCCAGAATCACATCCATCATGCATAGAGTGACGTTGTTTGCTGAATCTCAGTGGAATTGCAGCAGCAGTTTGGTGCCAGCCAACACTCACAGGCTGCCCACCTACTCCCACCAGCACCAGGTTTATGTGAAACCTCCAGCTTGGGCTTGCTGGCACTGAGCCTGGCTACTCCTTTCTCTTGCCATCCTCCCCAAGAGCCTCAGAGCCTGCCAGGAGGTGAGAGCATTCACCATCGTGTTGGCCAGAGCTTTGGCAGGACACATCCCTCCTTCACCTCTCTGGGACCTGAAGCAAAATCAGGCAGCACAGCTGCGTGTCTGTGGGCTGAGCAGAGATTCCTGATCCTCATACTTAAACCCCGTCTGGAATTCATCTCCATTTACCCAAAGAGCCACTTAGCAACATGGCAAAGAGCTCAAAACCCCATCTCACATCATTATTTGGAAGCACAAGCTCTAGCAACTCCGAAGCATTAATTGAAAGCTCACCCATAGCTTTTCATTCAGGGCTCGTTTTCATGTGCCCCTCCACAGGCAGCACAGTGCTTTGGGGCTGGTGCCAGGCACAGGAGGGCCTGTGGGGCTTTTGTGGCCACGGCAACTCAGGAACAGATTCCCCAATGACCTCATGTCTTTGCGTGTCCTCGAAGAGCAGGGCAGGTCGGTTTGTGCCCCAAGAGGCATGTTGGCACTTTGGCGTACGAAGGCAATGCAGTCAGCAGCCTCTACTTTATCTCCTTAATCACCTCCCCACCCCTACCTATGTCACATGCTGCCACTTTAGACATGATTTCAGGGTGGCTTTTGCAGTGAAGGCTTTATTTGGGGAAAACAAAGCGGTCAGAGGTTCGCACAAATAAAAGTGTTCCAGTGTGGGTACAGCCATGCAAAGCTAAGGGTGGGAAGCAGGGTGCTGTGCCCTGGCACCTCAGGGGACAGCAGGACGTGGCTTTGTCCTGCTGGAGGAGCCGTGTGCTCACCGCTGTTGTTCACATTAAGGCTTCCAAAGTGCTGTTTTATAATATAATATATATTATAATTTATAATATAATAATAGCTTTCTGCTCTGCAAAGGCCTCATGGATCTGATGACAGATAATATACATAAGGCAAAGAGAAGGGTAGTTTGTAAAACTAGCCTTTTGGTGCTTTTTTCAGTAAATTAATGTCTTTCAGAATGCCTCTGTACATTGAAACAAGGATTTGCCATACATTTCGTCGTTCAGACCTATGATTTATGTTCAAGCTTTTTAAAAGCCAGGGAATGATCCACTATAATTTAACCCCATCTCCATGCAAAATATGCTCTCCATACTCTGTAGTCTTAGCAACATGAAAGCAAAGCACTCGGAGGTCTCTGAAGCAGAGCTGCAGCACCAAAACTCAGCTGTAAAGCACAGTGTGGCAAGCCCCATCCACTGTGTCAGGCCAGGTAAAGAGTTTAAAGTCCAACCTGGATTCTGATGCTCTTGGTTGTGTGATGGGCACAGCCACATGGCATCTCCACTGCCCAGGCAGGAGTTCACATGGTTAGCTCACACATCCAGGTGTCTTGATGTCTGATGCTTCCATATAAAAAATTGTTTGGTCATTTTTCTCCAGATCTTCCTGAGACATAGCTTGTTCTCAATCTACGTGTCAAGAACCTCAGGCACTTTTCTTTGCAGCACACAGGTGAATGAAAATGTCCCTTCCTTAAAGCTAGTACTGTTAAAAGATTGTAATGAGCGTCTCTCATTCATAGCAATGCCTTGTTTTTAAAAGCTGGGCACTTCATATTTAAGTAACAGTTTTTAATGCATTTTTTTTTTTGAGTCTCTTCGGAGTCACAGCTTGCTTTCCTTCCACCTCCCTCCTAAGTCCCTGGAGCACAGGAACACAGCCTTTCACCTACCTCACCCCAAGGCAAATCCAACAAACTACCAAACAGCAGCTATGAGGAAATACCTACACAGGAGCAGGGGAAGAGCGCACAGAAGAAGGTGAAAGCCAGTTTGCACTAGCAATGGGAACCATATGGGACCCCTAGAAATGATACCCGGGGGACTCAGCTCACACTAAGCCACTGCTGGGCTTTCTCTTTCATCTGCTTTTAAGGCTCAGTCCATCATCATGTAACACAGATAACACGCTTTGCCTGCATGACAGCTCTCTGCATTTTGCCTGCCTGCAAAAAGATGAAGAATTGGCATTCTCAGTTAGTTTTTTCCAAACAAGAACTGTCATATTATTTGTAGGTTTTAATGTCACTCCTCTGTTCTTGGGCACCCTGCTCAGTGCTTTTGAAGAGCACCAGTAGTATCGTTAACAGTGATAAGATCTTTATATGCCTGTTGTCCTTGAGGACTTTGATATTATAGTTGCATTGCATTTGATGAAAACTTTATCTGCAGACAGTCCTTCACCTTCAGCCTACCAGAAAATTCTATCTTTGACCTTCAAAGGCTTTTGAATTCACGTGCAGCAAAGAAATTGCAAAGTGAGCACGTGACGTGCAGTGTTTGCTAGACCTGCCATTACCAGCTCATAACCTTCAGCTGCTGCTTGCTCCCTCCTCCCAAGCTCTCTGAAATGCCTTCCAGCCCTTCCAACAGTGGCAGCACTGTTGATAGAGACTAAAGGTCAGTGTGGGATGACATAAGAACTGTGGTACCTCTCCACTTCTCTGCCAATATTTCAGGAACCAATTTCCTCATGTATCACGATGTATACAGAAAATCTCTCTGCCTTATGCAAATACTTCCTATCAGCAGATAAATCCACTTGCACCACCAGGCGCATGCGATTACGGTGCCTGAGCTCGAGGTGACACAGTGGCAGTACATGGTACCATGCACCACAGCAGGTGGACTCCTTCTGTCTGAAAGTTACTTGTACTAACTACAAGGAATGACTCACTGAGCAAAAAATAACCCATTCAGCTCACTGCTGTGCAGAGCACCTCTGAGCAGACCCTCCAGCTGAGTTTACATGCTCCAGGTCAGGATCAGGATGGGGAAATGTGGCTTTAATACTACCTTAAGTGCTTGAGATAGGCAATATAATATGAGTATATATAACATAAAACTGGACAGCTGTGATAGAAGGTGCTACTGTGGCAAGTGGCTCATCAGCAATGTTTCCTTTTTTCTTAGGACAGCGGCTTGGAGACCACTTTCCAAGGCTGAAGTATTTTTCTCAATAAACCCATGCCTGGGATTTAGGAATCCTCCCTCTGGCAATTTCATCATCAGACAGGAGCAGGAGCAGCTGAAAGATCCCTTCTTGCAATGAGTTAATTTTCTCCCCTGCTGTACTTGTCGTCACTCATGTATATTGCCATTTGTTTCCTGCCCTCCTCCCGCTCAGGGAGCTGCTTAATCACTACCTGCCAAGTCCTGCCTTGCCATATTTCAAGCTGCTAATTTCAAAGGGTGTTATTTGCTCCCTGGGCAGCACGTAGTAAACCAGAGGAGCAATCAATACACGTCGTGAACCGGAGCTTGGGCTGCAAGCGGAAGCGTTGTCTCAAGCAACAGGGGGAAGATAAACCCGTGTTTCCTTCCCACAGCACTGTTGATGGCACATGCGTGCTGATTTGCGTCAGCTTCACACCCCACAGCCCCAGATCCCAATTGCCAATATCCTCTCCTCCCATTGCTCTTTAGGCCCTCCCAGGCCTAGAGGAGTCCATGCCAGTGTGCTCCCCAGAGCCATCGGTTTGGAAACTGGAGAGATTATTCTTCTGAGAACCACTTAGCACTTGGGCAATGCTACAAGAATACAGCAAAACAAAAGCATGAATTGGACCAGAGCATTCCCTGCTGCAGTTAAACATAAAGGCATTGTCCAGGCTGGAAAGTTGCCTTCTGTTGGAACTCATTGCTTAACTTGAGATACCAAAAGCCTCTTTACATGGCAGCTGAACCAGGGCTGTCAATTTTGCTAGTGACACAATCAATAACTTAAGAGGAAAAAGGATGGTGGTTGGAAAAGTGGTGGAAAACAGCATGAGTTTGTAAAGCTGGCTATGGAGCTCATGTATGTGGTTGCCTTGGGCTGCTGCTCTGCTCCTCCAGCAATCCCACCTGAAGCAGCACATGGGCCACCACACGTTCTGGGGCCTGGGCTGGTGTTCCTGTGCCCCTACCATGGATGAGAAGCAGCATGGGCACAGAACGGTGCTGCCCAGCCCAGCAAAGGGGCGAGAAGCATTGTGCCAACTGCAAGTGCTTCTAGGCTTGGGCCCTGTATTTAGGCAGCTCCAAAAGCTAACTACTGGTGTCTCACAATTAAAAGGCATCAGCTGTGTGGAATGGGGTTGCGTGACAGCTGCACTACCCCAGGGGCATCTCAATAATCACTACATTAATTACATCCCAGCTTCTACACTTTAGCCCAGTAAAACTGAAAACAATATCTTAAGCACATGAGTTTTAATTCTTAAGCATTCGAGGCCACAAGAAGAGTTTTTCTTTTTTTTTTTGGATTCTGCCTGGGATGCTGTTTCTGTCCACGAGTGTTTCCACTTGCTTTCCTTACCATAACACTTTCTTGCTGCTGGTGATAGCAATTAGATGTAACGGCAGTCTGTAGGAAGGGTGGCTTTTAGGAGCCTTTCTGTAAGTTCAAAACTTAGATCCTGAGTTGACCTATATGGAAAAACTAGGAAAATTAAGGTTGTAGAATGATGTTTTGCTTATGGACACACCTTCTAGAAATGATTCAAATTAGAAGTCAACTATTATTAAACAAGCAGGGTGCTTCCCTGGGGGTGTGGCAGGCACTTCAAACTGGAAGGGTTCCAGAATTCGGGATCTGGAAAATACAGCTCATTTTCACTCCAGATCATGATTGTGCTTCATTTTAATAGCCTGAAGTGGCCTGTTGGGTTTTCCTTGTTTTAGGACTCTGTTTTGGCTTGTGTTGAACTCTGGAGAGCAGCTGCCACTTAGTTGTTATTTTATTTTGAATTTGCTACTTGTATTCTGATCGCCACTGTTGGCCCAAGCCTGCCATGACCACTCTCCTACAGGCTGCAAGGATAGTTATGTACAAGCCCCTTCCAAAGCTCTCTTAAGGCAGCAGAGGGATTCTCAGGGGCACCAGAGCAGATCCCAAGTAGACATGTGATATGAGAGCTGCAAGTAATGGAAGGAGAAAAGAGTATAGGAAAAAAGTAAAGGAAACAGAAGGTTACACAGATTGCTCAAAATATCCTCTCATTCCTGCCAGATATTAGTCAGCCTCATCTCCAACCATAACATGTCCTCTCTCACAGTAGCACTGCTTTTTGATCTCCCTCTCCCTCTGCAATCCAATATGCTTTGCTGTGACACCGAAGGTTGGGAGCAGGACCTGGGCTGTCTCATTCACAGCTAAGGTGGAAAAGAAAACCTTTCGGCAGTCATGACTAATCTACAGATATCTCACAGCCATCAGTGGTGAAATGCTGGCTGGCTGTGTTGTTCTGTCTGGTGCACAACCAAAAAACAGGGTGCACATGTGGAGCTAGCATGCAATTTTCACTAATTTTTCCTTCTGCCTCCACCTCCTCTTGCAGTAAACCTCCATTGTGGAGCTCCTAGATCCAGCTGAAGTCTGAGAGATGCTACCATGGCCCTGGATGGAAGGAAATACATTTCAGATGACAGTAAGTGTCATATAAAGCATCAAGATCCCAGACAGAGACCACTGTTAGTGTCATGGACAATAAAAAGACAAGGAGTGTAGAAGAGCGTATGCAGTCCGTGCTAATTGCTCCCACAGCTATGAAAACAGTGAAGTGATGCATGATGTGAATGGACAAAAAAAGGACAAAGCTGAGGAAGGCAGCCCTTCTTCCATGATGGAAAGGGAGGAAGCCCATATTGGCACAACAAACCGTGAAAAACAATAAAAGCAGCTGAGCCTGAAGCTGAGCTGTTCATGATGAGCCCCTCAGTGACTTTGGATGATCTTCCTCTGCAAAGCAGGGAGGGGTCCTTCTTTTCCTTCTTAGCTGGTGTTTTTCAAGGTTCTCCTGCCACGTGACCATAGCACACCGTGCTCCCATCTCCAGGCAGGAATAACCTAAATAAACCTAAATAACAATCAGCACCAACTGTGCTACCCGGAATTAAGCGTAGAGGCAATGATGAGACTACTAGAGGTACTAATTAGGACCAGGGCATTGCCAAGAGAAGATCAAAAGTGTTGTCTTTAGTGCCCTTCTTCAAAACAGTCATCAGTACTGTTCAAGAACACTCCTCTTTATATTTCTCTATCTTATCTCCACTTCATTATAGAAAAGTTCCGGCTGAGAACTGAAGTGCCCATGCAGTTGTAATCAAGCCACACAATGAGGGTCTCTTCCCAGGGACACTCACTGCTGCATTCATGCTGCATTCATGCTCTCTGCTCTGGAACAGAAGTGTCAGCTCAGCCCTGACTCAGGCCCTCCATGCCAGGGATGGAAGGGCTGTTTCACAACCTGATTCAGAGTCTCCTGATGGTCTGGAGAAGAGCTTGTTCCAGTCCTGATTCATGCTGCTGTGATCTGATTCCAAGTCTCCTGGCCCAGTGGGGAAGTGGGACTGTGATTCAGACATCTGAATTCAGAGCAGGCTGACTTGGGACTCCTAGCCTGTGCTATCCCGTGGATGACATCTGCTGCCTAGGTGTTCTCAAGAGCCCTTTTGAGCTGCACTCTGGACCAGATCAATGCAAAGGAGCTTTATGTTCAGAGATCTTCAGGCTGAAATTGCCTGCTGGGCGAATAGATGCTAATCCACCTGTGTGGGTCACTGCACTTTCTACCTGTTGGCACAACCCCTCCTGACATGGTGCCACAGCAGATGCTGCTGGATTGATGCCCTTTGTGTCCTGCTCTGAAGAATCCAATGAGCTTTTTCAGTGTCAACAGCACAGGGCTGCTGGGTCTGAGGCCTCATACATATACTTACAGGACCTGACAGTGGCTCTTGAATTCTTAATCCTTCTGAGAAGCAGACCATGTGTTCTTTCCAACAAGGATCAGTCTGGACTTTGCTCACTTGGACGTGCCAAAAGGAGGTAGCAGGCAGACAGAACCAGGCAAAATTGTAATCCTTCACAGTATCACTGGAAAGAGGGCACACAAATTTTATACTACATTAGAAGTGAACACCTTGGTAAAGCTTCTCTGGTTTTCTCCATGTTTCTCATTCTTCTTGGTATATTTCATTTTTGCCTTTATGTTTAAAATGGAGGTGAGAGTGGACCACAGGATGCAAACTGCTGATGCAGGCTGCCCAGTGCCAGTGGGTGTTTAACAGCCGCACAACTTCAGCATGGAGCGGCTGGAAGCTCCATAAGAGCCTTCATTGTATCCATTGATGAACAGTGAGAAGAGCAGCCAAAGGCTGCTGGAGAATAGGGATTTGAAGCTCTTGTGATTGCTGCCAGCTTGATGAGCCCTCTATAAGGACTGATACCAATCAACATTAGGTATACGCAAATATAGATAGGTCACAGCACTCGAGCTGTCCTCACAAGGCCATGGAGTCAAGAACTGAAGGAAGAGAGCACTACGGCTCCAGGATCAGCCATCCAGCTGTTGGCAGAAGGCAGGAGCGAGGGGCTCAGCTCTCCAGCTCAAGGCTTCATGCTGCAGAGAGCCCAAACTCTGGTGTTAATGGCAGGCCCTGAGATGGCAAATGCTTCTAAGGTGGAATTTTAAATCACAAAATTCACGCTTTCCTTCTTCTTTTCTAATTTTGCTTCTGGAGAGAAGGTTCTGTTTCAGAAAGGGAAAAAATGCCTGGCGCGCCCGAGCACTGCTCATCATGGAAAGAGGCAGAGCTTGTCCTGGGCACTGCAGTTGTTTGCCTTGCTAAAAAAGCCACCACTGCTTATCTTAACTCTGAGCTCTCTGGCATTTTCCACACAACAAGCTGGGCACATCCCAGGGCTGAGGGCTGCGGCGTGGCTGCTGCTGGCTGGGTGTGAACAAAGCACCCGCTGTACTCAGGGAAGTACAATCCCTCTGGGCACCCAAAAACAGCCAGGGATGTCCGTAGGGGGACAGCACGGATTGCTTTGTGCTTACCAGACAGACAAGGGTGACCCTCCTACTTTGGGATTTCAGGGCGCAGCAGAGCCCTTGGGATGGAGCACCAGCCTCCAAACAGTTAACACAAAGCAGCACAAGTTGCAGCACAGTTAAGTAATTTTTTTTTTTTTTTTACATACAGCTGCAATTTGTCCTTCCCTGTCACTAGAACCAAGGAAGCTGGAAGTAAATTGCTTTAGTCAAATCAGGACAGAGCTAAGTGACCAACAATCTGCCTCTGTGTCAACCCTGCATATTACTTTTTTTTTTCCCAGATAGCGAAGCCGGCTGAGATGTTTGCATTTGCTCTCTCATTCTCATGTGATCAGCAACTGCTTCACCCTCCCAGTTTCCACCAGGAGAGGTATACTAACAGGTAAGTGACCTATGCAGCCATATTACCGATTTCCTCATCCAGGAGAAGCAAGTGCACTGCACAAAATCATTAACAGTACAGAAATCTCTAACTGCGGGCTGCATCGACTGCAGAGCAGCAGTACGGCTCTGTAATATTTCCAACACGTCCGGGCACATCCAGCTACCTTGGGTGACCTTGCTGATGGTTCATGCAATGCACGCCACTTACCTGAGCAACGTGCAAGCTGAACATACACCTGCATACGTCCAACAGAGCCTCACACAGCTTTAGTGAGATCTTTGTATATCCATGTTTCACTTTTTTTCTTACAAAAACATTTCCTGGCCCCTTTTCAACAGAAGCAGAACTGGTAGATCAGGTGGGACTGAGGTAAGCACAGTCCAGCTGTAACCAGCCAAACAATTGGCTGAGCACAGGGTTTGTACTGAGCAAATAGCCCAGGCCTCACTGGTCTCACTGCACTCTGCCAGCTCAGGATGACTTTCTTTTAGGCTTAGGTGCTCCGGGCACTTTGGCAGAAGGATGCAGCACAACTCCTCCCAGTGCCCATCCTTGTTCCCATCTCTGCCCCCATCTCCGCAGCAGCTGCATGCCGCCCTCTTGGCACCCCAGGCCTGAGCCTGTTGGCTTCGAGGGGCTTTGTAGGGTGCAGAGACCTGCTTGCATTGAAGAACAACTCTGAAATCAACAAATCAAATAGATAATGCTTTTTTTATTATCTGCTGCCCTGGTGAGGACACAAGAAGAGTAGTGTTGTTTGTGAAAGAAATAGCAATGTTACCAGAGTCTTTATCTGAAAGAGGATCAGACTCTTGTTCCTGAACCAGAGAAACCCCAGCTTAGTTACTAACTCAGTGTCATCTTCCTTCACTTCTGATTTGTGTGCACAACTTTCCAGCCCCTTCTCCTGCATGACCTTCATGCATGGGCCCTGCTTGGAGCTGGCTGGGCTGGGCCATGCTAGGCTGCGCTGCCAGGTGCCTCCCTCCCTCCCCAGCTGCCCAGAAGCTGATTTATGTGACCTTTAAAAAAACCTTCCCATGGATGTTTCTTCTTCAAATTACCAAACCTTTGTTTCCTTCCCACTGCCTGATAAGTGCTAATTATACACACAGCTGCTGAAGTATTCTCTTCCCTACAGCAGGTGAAGAAGATTTCTTATCACAGCACATGCTCTGAAACTCCTCAACTGTTTTCTTAAAGTCATTTGATGCTACCTGTCTTTAGCCTTGCAGAAACTGCCTGTCTGTATTTTGGTGGCATGCACAGAATTTCAGGAATGTCCCCGGGAGGGGGGTAAAGCAATGAGAATTAAAGGAAAGCATGGGATCATAGGGCTAAACTGACTGCACAGTTGAGACCAGCGGTCCCACTTTCCTCCAGTATCAAAGCACTTCAAACCTAAGGGCAGAGGCTCTGGTAGAACTGCCAAAGCTACCCACTAGCTGTAAGCCAGGACATAAAGCTGCTATGGACAGGTACCATAGGTGCCATGAACACGTGCCATACCTTGTACCACGTAACTCAGTAGGATGAGTCCAAGAGAACCATTGCATGGCTCAACCTTCAAAATCTGTGCAATGTCATGAGCATACTGCAGAGAGAGGTACGGCGGTCAATTTTCAGTCCTTAAAAGTTTTGCATTGTTTCTCATGCTGAGGAAGGACCAACCAACCCGCCGTTCTGTTTGCAGGGAGGTCAGTGAGCTGCCCCCAAGCAAATTGCCAATCTGATTTTGTCCTCTGCTAGCTTCAGCTTTATTGGTTTCATTCCAGACACTGATGTCCTACAGCAATTAGTTTTGATTCAAGTGCTAGCACCTCATGCTCAAGTTCAGTGTCCTGGCATCTCATGTGAGACTGACAAGATGCATCACAGCTCAGGGAGCTATCTTAGTAACATTCAGCTGCCAAATATTTTACAGGGGTGTTGATGCTGAGGAGGTACTCTGTGTTATTCGCAAGAGAAGCAGCTTAGAGGACCCACGGCTCTATAACACACATGGGTGTAGCCCCAAAAATAATAATGACAAGTGCAGAATATGTACTGGCATGTCACCCGAGAACAAAAGGACTCATCTGCAGTGTTCCCTGAGGGATGAGCCATAAAGCAAGGCAATAACACCATATAAAATAATACAGCAAGGTTCTCCAAGGACGGCAAAGGGGAGGAAGTCAAACTAGAGCCATACGAAGCAGAGAGGAGTGTTCCAGCAGGAAATTAAGGAAAGCCTTCAATGTGAGAAGAGGGGACTGATCCCTGGAGGGAAGCTGAAATGGCACAGCAAGAACATCAACTGCAACGTGACTGCAGGTGTGAGGGACTCAGAGGGTAGCAATGCTCACTGCCAGGACATGTCTGTCAAGGTTTGCCCTGCTGTGCCAGGCCAGAAGGCTGGTCTGTGTGCAGCACTGCCTGGTGCCAGTGAGATGGCTGCCAGGAGATGCTCTCACCTGGGAACGCTGAACGTGGGCAAGTGCTCATGGCTGCATCTGTGATGGTGAAATATCTACTGTAACTTAATGCATTACTGGCAACCCTACTTGCAAAAGCTGTTCTGAGTATTGGGCCTCTCTGTCTTGGAAATCTAGTGCACACGAATGTACCCTGAGCTGGTAAAAGGCAGACCTGGCCCCACTGCCTCCCCACGTACCACATCAAGAGCAGATCATTATTCTCAAATGGCTGTACGCAGAGCCATGTCAGCTGAAGCACCATCTGGGCTCGGTGTGGGGAGCTGCCCTGACTACCAACAGTCCTGGCTGCCCTAGCCCTTCCCTCAGTGGATTTGCATATTGGGTCAGGGCAGCCATTCCAGCAGCTTGATTTGCAGTGGGTAATGTTATTCATGGAGCTGTTTGGGACTGCAGTGCCCAAATCCTTGGTTGCTATTTGTCTGCTTCTTTCTCCCTCATTCTTCCTTACTTTTTACTCCCCTTGTCTGTTTAAAAAAAAAAAAAAGTTTCTCTTGGCTGTACTTTCACTAGGACATTGCAAAGTCAGGCTGAGAGCAGAATTAAATGAGGATAGATGCCAGGTTCCTTTTTTGCTACACACACACACACACACACACACAAAACCTACTAGAATAGCACTGAGAGCTGTAAATTAGGTCATCTTTGCACAAGAGCTTCCCAAGCCCTTCCTCCAAGTAATGCTGCACAAGCATTTGGTGACGACTGCTTTAAAGCTATCTGGTGCAGCTTGTCTTGGGGACTGGTGTGATGCAGTGAGAGAGTTCCCAGGGCTGCCCCATCCCCTGTACAGAGACATGAACTAGGATCTAGATCCACTCCTCTGAGGGTACACAGTCAGGGAGAGGCACAGGAACCCTAAGGCTAGACGTGACAGCCAGAGGAGAGAGTCAGCATGAGTATGGGGAAAGGAAAGTCTGCATTTAGGGAAGGTGGGCTGCAGAACCTCTTGGATAAGCAGCAAAAGATTGGTAAAGGTGAGAAGGGAGCTTGCCTGTGGGACATTCCCATCCAGACCTGCATGGCTTCCAGCACACCACCACAGTGGCTCAGAAATGCCTTTCAACCCAAGCCATTCTGTGATATTCTGATATTCTAAAAGCACATGCAGCACACTCACCCAGCCTCCAGTGACCCACAGCTCAAGGACTCAGGTGACATCTGTGTTTAATAGCCCGAGGAGTACCTTCCTTGAGTGAGTCTGTCTAATCGCTCCTTGAATCTGTATAACCTTGGGGCAACGTGTTCCATCCTCTAAGTACGTGTTTGGTGAGCGTACAGCCAGCCTTATGATGACTCTCAGCTGGCCTCCTTGCAGCCCTATCTGCAGCTCTTGTCCTTTGGGAGGCTGTGGACTCACTTTTGGCGTGACTTAGTAGTCCTCTGCATTGTGAAAGACACCGTGCAGGTTTATGAAAGCAACTTAGAGCAAGGGAATCGAGCCAGGCTACATTTCAGTAGCACAGTTTGGATCTTTCTTTAAGTCATGCTTCTTTGAATCTCCTTCTGGCACTGCCTCATCACCTGCATCCCCTTCAGCCCTAGGACCTCCGCTGCAGCCCCTTCTCTGTCTGTGAGGCCTCCTCCAAAATGCAGCTGCTGTACTTATGCCATGCTGGGAGAGCTGAGAGCTGTGAGGGGAAGGCTGATCCTGGGAGCTGGGATTTAGGAGCCCTTCAGCAGCCCTTGTCCCTACCTCATCCCATGTTATATCTTCAGCACTGGCTTCTCCATGGCAGGAATAGCTCCTGAGTTGGGGACATGTACACCAGGACCAGAAAATGGAGAAATGGATCCAAGTCTTCAACCATTAATGGATTAATCAGGACTTGAGAAAAGTAATTTGTAACTTGGCATAATGCTTGGGTAAGCTAGAGAAGCACGTCATGTGGGGAGGAGAAACCGATGAGAGGATAAGCTGGAGAGCAAGAGATCAGAACAGGCAAAAACCGAAAGCCCAGTCCAGAGCCAGGCTGGTGTCCCCTGATGGGCAAAGGTCCCCTGGGCTGCACAGCTCCACTGTGGCCGTGGTGAAGCCACGTGTGAAGCCGTGGTGGCTTCAGGCACCTACAGAGCTTTTGGGATCTATGTGTCAGAACCTGTGGTGCAAAAGGCTCCACAAGAATGTGAAATCCTTTCTAAACCCAATTGTACCCTGTACTGCTGCAGTCTCCACAGAGGTCTCCTGGATGGGAGGGCAGTGGTCCCAGAGTCCATCCAGGAAGAGAACAGTGAGAGAAATCTTGCTCTGGCACATATTACAAGCATAAGAAAATAAATGTCAAAACCTTATCACTATCCTGGTTCTTAGAGGAGATTTTGGAAGGGCGCTTTTGAGATCTTTGCAAGCTGTGGGCTGGTAAGAGGAGAATGAGCTCTTTGCTAGGGAGATGGAGAACTCTTTGCTGCCTCCTGCTCACCTTCCTGGAATAAAGGCAACCGAAACTACCACAGGTGAAGCAGAAACTTTTTACCTTAACCAGCAACAGTCTTTGGTTTGCTTGCCTCACAGAGGCCACCTGG